ATTCAATCCTGATGACTACTGCCTCCCAATTGTCTTCCCTTTCCATTAATATTAATATTTGTAGACTTCACTGGCTGAAAAAAAAAATCAGAAGTCTAAAAATAAAAATTCTTCAGGTGCTTTCTGCCTCCTTATTGAAATTGGTCAGTTTGATCCTACCCTGATCAGCCTCTTGCAAACCACATTCTGTTTCCCACAATGACACCCTCCTATCCTGCCTTCAGCCCAGTCTGCACCAGCCTTTTAAACAGATTCTCATGATCAGCAGAAGCTATGCTGACGTGCTGCTTCTACAAATGAAGGTGGATATAACTCATTCCACGTAACCTTAGCACATAAATACTTTCTTAAATCCAAACACATATAAAACTCCCTGGGGTGAGAAACGGGAGGAGGGGTGGAGAGACAGTGGGTAAGGTTAAACATTGAAATTGCTAAAATTTGACCTGGTCATAAATCTCCACTTCGGCTCATGTTTTATGAGAACATTCAGTGGGAAAGTAATTCCCATGTACAATTGCTTTGCCTTATAAGTCATTTCTGACTGATTGCTGTCATACCTGAGATTTTTAACCTCTTTCTCGGTAGCTTTAGCAATATTTTTAACATGGTTGCAGTGGAACTGTCTATGTTTAAATCAAGGAAGTGAGTCCAGAGAGTGTCATGTGCTAGAAATATTCTACATTTAAAATGTGGGAAGAGCTGAATGCTTTTACATAGATAATGTCATTCATGGGGGGGGAAAGAATTCTAAACATAGTGCTGGGTATAGAACTGTTAGGAGATGCTAAGTTTAGGCCTGGGAACCTTAGCTTCTATTTGTGGTTGATCCATATGGCAAGTTACGAGAACCGCAGCTTGGGACAGCTTCCTGTTTGGCGAAAGGGAATATTGTATGAGCGTAAGAATTCCTGGCAGCAGTTTTATAATTTGAACAGAAAAAAGGTTGAAAGAAATAACAGGAGCTGTTGATTGTGCTGGAAGAACTTCTCTTATTTTCAGAAGCTCAGGGGGTGGACTGTGTAATGTTTTTCTGTTTAGCTATTACTTGACCTTAACCTAACCCTAATAAATGGTTGTTTGACTTGATCTGATGCTAAGCATTCTTTCCATCTGGTCATGTCAGGCACAAAGAACTAGGAACACTGGCTCAGTTCAAAGCACTGAAGACTTTATTATTGTTACCTATACACAAGAATCTGGTTGAAGCTAAATTGGCACATAGATAAGAGTCAATGGAATTCATGAGAGTTGGACTTGGGTCTCTTCTGGCTGTGCAATGATTCCAAACTGATGACACATCTAACCCCACCTTCCAGCTCAGCCTGCTCCTCTCTTCCAGATTATGAATGTGTGGATTAAGTCTACCAGCTGTTTACCATTCAAACTTCACAAGAAGAATGTTTGCTAAACCATGTTAGCCACCAAGATACTTTTAGGAAACTCTCCCATCAGAAAACAATGCTCCCATTTTTTGCAACTTTCTAATAGCTGAACTTAAAAGGTTCATTTCATGGAAAGTAAAGGAGTTTGTTTGGAATTGAGGACAAATGTTTGATCATCTACTGGATGAATTTGTAAATCAGAACCTAGCTCTCCATTGCATCTCCAATTGATTTGTCAATGGTGCCATGAATTTTACCACTGGCATCTTTTAGAACTTATTAGACAGAAAAACTACTAGAAAAAGAATATGTGAAGCTATAAATTCAAGGTTCCACTGGTTTGACCCAAGGCTCTAGAATAAATGAATTCTGAAAGGGCAGCTTGAACCTTTGAAATAGCTTGCATTGAATAGCTGTGTGTATTGGGAGAAACAGAATTCTTGGAGACTGTAGGAAAATTGGCCTGTAGCTCATTAATTCTCACTAAACAGACTACCGACTGGGTGAAGCCTCCAAGTTTAATAACAGCCATAAGTTAATATATGCAGCTGCAATTCAAATGTACTTGATTGGAAAGAGAATAGATCTTCTCCCATTTGTTGTGGCCTCCCCGGAGTTTGTTTTTCTTTAAAGTACAAATTGACAGTCAAACATGTAATTAGTTGTGATGACTGTCACAACCAGCCGTTTCCCCTTCACCATGCCACTTCTCTAAAAGTTGAATTATTTTGATCACAATGAATTAGGCAGGCTTTTCATAATCATTGAGGGAGCCTAGTTCTCTTCTCGTGCCTACTGCATTCACCCAATCATCAGATTAAAGCACAATGGTGGCATATCAGGAACAGTTTCCTGTTTTCATGGGTATTATTTATTTAGTTGGGTAGATTTCGATCGGGGCTCTTCAAATTTGGAAATTTTAAGACTTGTGGACTTCAGATCCCAGAAGTCCTCCACCAGCCATGTCTTTAGTCCAGGGATGTCAAACTCGCTGCGTCATGTGATGTGTCACGACATATTGTGACTTTTTCCCCCTGGGGTGGGGTGGGCACAGCTTCCATGTGATGCATCCGGCCCATGGGCCGGCAGTTTGACACCCCTGCTTTAGTCTGATGACATTCTCCTCTAACAAAAGGCCTGTGCAATAAACTGGATTAGGGAGAGAATGAGTTGCCCAAAGTAAGCCATGAGCTTCCATGGTCTATCACTCCAGGGGTGTCCAACCTTGGGAACTTTAATAAGACTTGTGGACTTCAATTCCCAGCAAGGCTGGCTGGGGAATTCTTGGAGTTGAAGTCCACAGATCTTAAAGTCACTAAGGCTGGACAGTCCTGGTCTAGTCTATCATCTTAATCACTACATAACTACACTGGATGTCAAATGCTGTGAAAGAAAAATGAATCTCTAAAAAGGTTTAGTTTCTCATAATTTGGTATGAGTAGGCAAATTGTCATGCATTTATTACACTTTTAACAAGATAATTTGTTTTACTGCAGCTTCAGCACCGCATAGTGAAGCAACCAAAAAAAAAAACTTTTGGGAAAAAGAATTGGCTGCAAATATTTAGCAAAGTGATGATGGGTCCACTAATTGTGTTGATACAACACACCCGCACCTGTCTGTCATATAATAATTTTGTAGGCTGTTGTTTGATACTTCAGCAGCCAGACATTTGATTAATGCATGGAAGCATTTATAAATGACACAAAGTTAGAAGGAGGCAGTTTATGAACCTTGGGAAATGAATCTTTTCAGAAGAATAAAATTTTGTGATGGGAATAATGCTAGGGATGTTCTGTTTAATATGTCTGGATGGATTCTCACCTATAGACAATTTTGTACTATGTGTGGATACTCAACATGCTTATCAACATTCTTCTCGGTTGTGGGTTGGTTGGTTAATTTTTGGCTGGTGTGTCCTTCACAGTTGGAAGTCTGTAAAAGGAAGCACCCAAATGTCTCCCCAGGTTTTAGAGACTTAGATCACATTACCTAGATAGTTTTCTGCTTCTTGGGTTTTGTTTTTAAACAGTTGACCATGGTTTACAGCAAACTTAGCTCCTTTGTGTTATTAGGAGCATTTTATCTGAGCACAGTAGTGCATCTGGATGTTAGCCCCAAAAAAGAAAAGAAAGAAAGTAAGCAGCAAAACATTTCACAGAATCATTTGTGTCATTTTGTCTTTGCTTCCCACAAACTGACATAAATGTTTTATCCATGCCTGGAGAGGCTGAGCAGGAAACAACGCGAGGGGGATGGAAACGCTGCCATTAAACTAGGAGAACATTCAAGAATGCAGAGCAAAAAAGAAAGAAAAGTGGAAGGACTAAAACTTCTCAGCTCCCCCGTCCCTTGATTTTTATTTTTTATTTTGCAAAAGAAAAGGGACTCTGCACAGCCAACTCAGACTAAGCTTTCTGGCAGCTGTCTAGTCAGAACCTCATTTCAGAAGTTGGGCTGCAGGTGAAGGAGAGATAAGTACCGATTGAAATGCAAGTGAGAGAAGCTGCTTCCAGTAAATTGGACTGCTAGGTCTGGGAAAGTACGGGCGGCCTTCGCACTTCAGGGTTAATAATCCCCTGCTTTTTCTAATTACAACTTGCTCACAGCGGGGGAGATAACTAGGCTGCAGAAGAATATGCTTAATGAGGTGGGCATGGAAAATTCATTAAAGGCTCCTAATTGAATTTACAGTCATATGGTTAACGGAGGATAAGTTCTCCACTAGGAAATTCGGGAGAATGTGTCCTGCTAAATGCCGGATCCGTTCCTTGCAAGGGAATAACCATCAATATATCCCCTTGATGAGGCTTTAAGAACAAGCCAAAGCAGTCTGGGCCGTTTGGAAGGAAGGATATGTTGTAATAAACTAGGGGTCCTTTGGGTTTCTTTCAAGTGCGCCTTTATGTGATTATACACAGTCACAAATCCTATCATTTGTGTATCTGCTACAGCTGCAATCCGGTTTTAAGTTGGATTCATTCGAAACATCTAACGCAGCAATGTTCAACCTTGGCAACTTTCAGACTTATGGACTTCAACACCCCAAATTCCCCAGCCAGCATGAGGAATGCTGAGAGTTGAAATCTGCAATCTTTGCAAAGGTTGGACACACCTGGACTAGACCATGGAATTGATAGGACAAGAAAATTCATGGCTTACTAAGGGCAAGTCATTCACTCTCTCTCTCTCTAATCCAGTTTGCTACAGAGGCCTTTTGTAAGAGAAGAAAGTGACCAGACTCCTCATGCTGGCTGGGGAATTCTGGGAGCTGAAGTCCACAAGTCTTAAAGTTGCATGGCTGGCTGGGGAATTCTGGGAGTTGAAGTCCACAAGTCTTAAAGTTGCCAAGGTTGAGCACCTCTGCTCTAATGTATAATGTCTACCTAGTTAAGTGAAAGAAATAAAAGGACAATGAAATAATAAAACTGAGAATTGTTTCAATTCATCTTATTTTTTCTCTTCTCTTAAATCCTCGGAATCTTATTTTCTAAACAGGAAGCACCAAACTCTACAAGCTAGATGCCAAGTGGATAGCAATCAGTTGCTTAATCCGCTTTAATGCCTTGTTGCTGGAAATAAAATTTGATCTTCTTCTGCTCCTCCTTGCTCCAGGAAGTACTGTTATGCGGGTGACGGCGTCTGATGCAGATGACCCATCTACAGATAATGCTGTGCTGAGATACAACATTCTGAAGCAGACTCCAGACAAACCATCTCCGAACATGTTCTACATTGACCCAGAGAAAGGGGACATCGTCACGGTGGTGTCTCCAGCCATGTTGGACCGCGAAGTAAGTCGCAAGTGGTTTCCATGATTTGTTGAACAAAACAGACTCCAACAACACAAGGCTTGTTGGTTACTGCCTATTTTTCATCTTGTCATCTTACCTGGAACTCAGTAAGCCATTTGTCGGTGTGATCTTTGGATGGCTTGTTTAGAAAAATATTATGTAAAACTCACAGATGGAAAAAAGAAGTGTTTAGATAGCTGAATAATATCAGGATTTGATCTCCCAGTGATGAATAGAATAGAAAAGAACAGAACAGAACAGAATAAAATAGAATACTTTGTCATTTTAAATGTATATTAATCGGCATACATTAAAATGAAATTTCATTGCATACAGCTCTCAAAGGGTCACCACCTCCAATATACACTACATAAATATGACAAAAAAGAAAAAAATGCATATATCCACATATATTCTTTATTCTGTATATATATTCTACATATATTTGTAGCAGATTAGCTGTGTTTCTTATTCTAAACTAAGGGTGTTTCTTTCCATTTTTCCATGCTTGGAAAGGGCCGTGTAATAATATTAGAACACACATCCTGAAGGAGCTTTTATTTTAAAGGCAACTGGACTTTCTGATTTTTCTTTAAGACATTTTTGCATCTCATCCAAGAAGCATCTTCAGTTCTAACTAACTGCTGGGGAATCCAGTCCAGATGCCTTTAAAATAAAAAACACTTTTAGGACAAACATGATCTGGATGACTGACAACCTCCATAGACATTAGAGCACACAGTTTGCATGGAGCAGAGAAGGGGAGGATGAGGAGGAGGAGGAGGAGGAGGAGGAGGAAATATTAGCAACTCAGAAGTGTCAACTTCACGGTCCATCAATGTCAAGAAGATACTTGGAAAAAATAGGAAGCAATTTGATAGGAAAACTGGGTTGGAGAGGGAAGAAATGAGCTTTATTAGGCTTTGTCAATGAAGAAAAGAAGAAAGTTTAGAGCTTGTGAGGTAAGAAGGGATAAGGAGCTGAACGCTTCTTTAGTTCAGATTAAAATTCTGAGCCATCAAAGAATAGGGATGTTGTAAAAATCCTCCTGAACTTGCAAAACAGAAGTGAACACTATTGCCATGTATCTGGCTAATTCAACACAAGGGGAGAAGCAAAGAATAATCTCCCTTTAAATATATCTCCATGCTGACACCCCCAATTTGCATAAACAGAAGTGAGCTAACCTCTCTGAAACCTTTCATTGTGTTATTATCGTTCCATTTTCATTTACAAGTGTAACAGCCACATTGGTGTGTGAACGAGTGTGTGGTGCATGAGTAATGTGTGTTTTCTTTTTCTTTAAAATAGTTGAAGGATGTACAATGGGGGGGTGGCAGCATCATAAATAAGTGTTGAATTTTTAAGTAATAATTTTTATTAAAAATGACAATTTTTAATAATGACAAAAACACAAAAGAATGGATCGCCCTGATGGTTAATACATCAGTTTGAGCCAGAGGGAACTTCTGTGTGGGGCATGTAATATATGTGGGGATAGCCCAGAAAACCGGGGAGGGTTGCATTGTAGCAGAGACAGGAAACTTGTCTGGATGTCTTGGATCCAACTCCTTTATTTAAATCTGGCCAAGGTTTTGTCTAGGCTAAGGGTGAATATTGCCAGAAAGCAAGGCCACACAGTATGTCAACATGTGATTGATTTTCCTCCTTAGAGAAGAGACAAACTTATCCAATAAGGTAAGGTCGAAAAAAAGGAAGTTCCCCCAAGGATTTGCTTCGACCGGAATCAAAGTTGACAGAGTCTCAGACAAACTCCCAAAGAGACATGACTGAGTTCTAACTCTATCTTGAATTCAGCTTCTTTGATTTAACAAAAGAAGAACTAGCTTAGAAAATATATTCATATTCTTAGCTGTGAGGTCCTTGGTGCTCTCTGAGCTTGGTTGTTTTCTTGTAGATGTTGCATGACCCAACAGTGAACTGATGATGGTAGCTTGTTGAGTCATGCAACGCTTGCAAGAAAACCACCAAACTCAGAGAGCACCAAGGACTCCACAGTTTTCCTCCTCCTCCTCTCTCCGCCTATCCCACTCCATCCTAGCATGATGATGTTACTTAATTGGGTATTCCAACATCTGCAAGAAAACAACCAACTTCAGAGAGCACCAAGGACCCCATAGTTGTCCTCCTTCTCCTCCTCCTTCTTCTGCACATCCCACTCCCTCCTAGCATTGATGATGTTACCTAGTTGGGTCATGCAACATCTGCAAGAAAGCCACCAACCTCAGAGACTACCAAGGAGCTCACAGTTCAACCCTGAGCAGCAAATATTCTCTTCTATTGCTATGTTCTTAGCTTTGGAGACCTTGGTCATAATATCCATATGAAATGAAAAATATATATTTGAGGGCTGTGCAACCACCAAGTCATCCAGAGAACTTTATGGCCAGATGGGAATATGAACGCAACCTGAGTGTGAGATTCTTCAGGGATTCCAAGCTTACCACCAGCTAGGAACTGAGATAAGAGGCTTTTTCCCATATTTATCCACCCACAGTCAGTGGACAAAGCTTCCCAGCTGTTCCATTTTTACAACCGAACGTATGACTAATAAGGCAGTTATGTATTGTGCCTAATTATGTTTTTTAAATGTTACGTTAGTGCAATTAAAAGACAAGCGAAATATTGACAGACATCTGTGACATAAATGGCATTGCCTTGAAAAGAGCTAGCTGTAGATAAATTGTTGAATTATACCCTAAAGAATGGGGGGAGGGGGAATCTCCAAAATGTCAATCAAACCTTCTTTTAAATCTTACTTGGATTTCACTCTCTCTTCAAAATGTGTTGAGTCAGCTGGAGAATCATTTATAAAACATGAACGTCGATTAGCTTTTCCTGACGAGAGTGGGGTGTTTTTTTTTACAATTATGGAGGAAAAGTACAAATAAATAGCACTGGAATTCTGTTTAAAATGTTGCTATGAAATTAGGAAGGAACCCCAGAACGATCTCATTTTTACCACTGTTTGTTTTGAAGCATTGCTCCAGCATAAAATCTAGTTTTCTCAACTTAAAAAAAATGTTAAAAGTAATTAAGTGTAAAAAGTACCAAAAGGGTTGGTTTCATTGAGGATATCCCTCCAGCAAATATATTAGACATTTTTCAGCAGGAGATTAAAGTTTTCCCTTGCTTTCATCCTTTAAATGAGCCCCATCAATTTATTCCCTGCTTTTATATTAAAAAAAAAACATTCCCAGGGTAGAGAGAAATGTGCATTTTATAGCACATCTAGATTGGATTCCTTCATTGTGCTAAATGATTGTTTGTAGACTAAACCACAATTACCTGGGTTTGTATAGCATGTTAAGCTATAGGTTTACTGTTAGCTTGTTTGTCTGTATTGATAGTTCCTTGATTTGGATATTGTTTACTTCTTGATTGTTGTCTAGTGTTCATCTTGGTGTTAATATCTACTTATTTGAGTGTTGATTGCTAGCAAGGATATGTTTTGCTCTTTTTGTTTCCTTTTTAGCTTTTTGATTCTTTCTTTTAAATCGTATATAGATGTTTATCTCTATGTGCCTGTTGATGTCTGATTTTTCTGAGTGCCAGGCTTCCCAGAATTCTCTTGGAATTTGAGTATTTTTGCTCACAATTTCCCAGTTGGAACTGTGGTTGAAGCTATCCATTTGTTGCAATATTAAGGAGTTCTCATGTCTTCTGACTGCTAATTGGTGTTCATGGATACAATCCGCTAGTCTTCTCTGTCTGTCTTACATAGAAGCTGTTCATTTACTTATTTTCAAAACTATGGACCTATAATTAATTAGCCACTATGTGATAAACCTCATTTTCATACATAACCTCATCTATTGGTGACTTCTTCACCCAGAATCTAAAATCAAAACAGCTATTTGGCCTAATCCCTTTCATTTAATTTAAAAAATTTTAAATTCTTTTTTTGAAGTATCTTTCTGTTGTCAAACACATTTACTGATTCCCACTTCATTCAGAAAAAAAGAGAAAAGTCTTGTAGGGTCAAAATAATTTGTTGCTTCATCAGCCAGTTAAATATGAGGAGAAGCATCATGCAAGCACAAGAGGGAACAAATAATATCAAGTATGCACATAGTTCAGCTAAAAGAAAGAAGACGTTTTTTTTTAAAAAAAAAACAATAACCACCGGTTGTATGTCAATTTAATAAACAACTGCCATGTATGTTTAAAACCGCCGTTCCAATATTTTAATTATGTCATCTTCAAATAACTTCTCCTGGAAAGAAAGCTGAAGTGACAGCTCATGGTCTGAAGGAAATGAAACATGACTTAGCTCATTTTCTTTCCCTCTTAGAGCTAAAATTTAATTTTCTTCATCTTGACAAGGAAGTGTTTTAATTAGAAATTACTTCTGTCTCTGCCCTTCCTCCCCATTTCAGACCTGATGCCCACAACATAGCAAGACTTTGGATTGTTCTAGTGAGCACGTATATGTTATCCGGTCTAAAAAGATTGTCCAGAACTAGAAATAGGGCCCAAATCTTTGTCCATTACCAAAGTCAGGGTGAGCAGTAAGCAATTCCTACCAATGATACATTGTCCAGATTGAAGAAGAAATGGTGTACCCAAAGCTGAGGTTAGTTCACCCAACTTTTGAGGGTCACTTAGCAAAATTTGGAGCTCTCTGATTATGTTATGGTCACTTGCACATAAGAACTCTCTAGCTGCTTTTGAAAAGCTCATGGACATGCTTGCCAATAGTTAGAATTTAAAGCATTCAAGAGTTGCAATCACAAATGCCCCAATTTTTCATGAATTGCTCCAATCAGCATTTCAACCATTTAATTGTTGTTCATGTTCAGATGCTTTTCCAAGCCTTCTTATTTCCCATTGTTCTTAGCCTTATTCTTTAAGATGACCTGTTAATTATGCTAATAATCTATTACACGTTGTCCCTCCTTTGTTTTCCTGTTTTCCATCCGCCCTTTTTCAGTTCTTAAAGCACTTTTAATGCGTTTTCTTCGAGAATAGATCCATTG